TTTATTTTGAGTTGGAGTCTCACTCTGTCGCCCAGACTGGAGTGCAGTGGCCGCTCCAGGCCACCGCAACCTTGACCCGCTGGGCTCCAGCGATCCTTCTGCCTCAGCCTTCCGAGTAGCCGGAATTACAGGCATGCGCTATCATACCCGGCTGATTTTTTGATTTATTGTAGAGGCGAGGTCTCACCAAGTTGCCCAGGTGGGTCTCGAACCCGCCAGCTCAGGCAATCCACCCACCTCAGCCTCCCAAAGCGTGGGATTACAGGCTGAGCCACCGAACCCGGCTGATAAATATTATTAATAAAATATTTATTTCCTTGTCATTAAGGAAATTAGGGGTCGTGGAGGTTATTGTGTGCTGTGGCATGTGTTCCTGTCACTCCAGCTTCTTGGGAAGCTGAAGCAAGAGGTTCACTTGTAAAATACCTAAAAGTAGGCTGGGCGCGGTGACTCATACCTATAATCTCAGCACTTTGGGAGGCCAGGGTGAGAGGATTGCTTAAGCCCATGGGTTCAAGACCAGCCTGGGCAACTTGGTGAGACCTCATCTCTACAATAAATAAAAAAATTAGCCAGTTGTGGTGGCGTGTGCCTGTAGTTCTAGCTACTTGGAAAGCTGAGGTGGAAGGATCATTGAGCCTAGCAGGGCAAGGCTGTGGTGGCCATGAGCATGCCACTGCACTCCAGCCTGGGTGACAGAGGGATACTCCGATTCAAAAAAAAAATGCCTAAAAGTATATAATCATCTAATATTAGAGCTGGGGTTTAAACCCAGGATCTTCTGTCTCCAAAATCTGAGCACTTTCTTTTTTACTGCATATCAATCTGTTAGTCTTTATATACTTAAAATTACTAATTAAATAATATTCTACAATTCAAATTGTTATTAATTAATTATTTTCTCTGCAAACAGTCCAAAATTAGGATGAGTATTCTTCTAACCAGTGAATTTCGAGTTTGCTTGGTTGGTTAAAATGAGATACTGTAGTCATGATTACCTCATCAAAAGTCAGTGTTATGCAAAGCTCTGTTTGAGCTCCCCTTGTATGTAGTAAATGGTGCATGCTATCTTCCTCTTCTGATCCGTATTTCTTGCAGAGAAAAAGAGAGACCAGCAGTTCTGTCCTGTGGCAAATGAGAAGGCAGCTTCTTCTGGAGTTGATGGGCATTCTTCCTACAGTAAGAAGTACCCGCATCGTGGAAGAAGCTGATGTGGACATGGAGCCCAATGTGTCTGTGTATTCAGGGCTGAAAGAAGAGCATGTTGTGAAAGCCAGTGCACTCTTACGTCTGTACTGTGCTTTGATGGGCATCGCTGGACTCAAGTATTCAATATTTTGATATGTTACCTTTTTGTCATTTTACTTTCTTGTTTCTAATCCCAAGAAAATGAGCCAAGGGCCTTTTAATCAGAGGATTTGAGTTTGCTATCAGGCTCAGGGAGTGGGCTGACCTATAGTAAGAATGAAATCCTCAGCCGGGCTCGGTGGCTCAGCCTGTAATCCTGCGCCTTGGGAGGCTAAGGTGAGTGGATTGCCTGAGCCCGCGGGTTTGAAAACCGCCTGGGCAACTTGGCGAGACCTCATCTCTACAATAATTCAAAAAATCAGCCGGGCATGGTAGCATGTGCCTGTAGTTCCAGCTACTTGGAGGGCTGAGGCAGAAGGATCACTGGAGCCCAGCAGGTCGAGGCTGTGGTGGCCAGGTGCATGCCACTGCACTCTAGTCTGGGCGACAGAGAGACTCCAACTGAAAAAAAAAAAAAAGAATGAAATCCTAAGGTCAAGCATTCCTAGCAGGGATATATTCATCTATTTTGTTCTGATTATAAATAGAATTATGAAGATATGGGAGAGGTCAGAGCAGTTTACCAGTTTTTAGTCATAGTGTAAAGAAACCTATGATTTCACTAACAGCTTGACAAAACTATAGTGAATGATCTATGAATGATCCTTTCTTTACCTGGCCCATTCAGCTAGTTGAAGTAACTGTTTCCTTTTACAGCTGAGATCATAAATTGTTTACAGTTGATGTGATGTGCATATTAAGCACAATGTTTCTTATTTAGTCACTGTACAAAATAATTTTGAATATTATTCCTAACTTATACATACAGTCTTCACTTTGCATGTTTCTGATAGGCATAAATTTTAGATACCGTGGTTTAGTAACCTAGCACTGGTTTCCCAATGTAGTTGAAATTTTAGTTGCCACTATACCAAATAATTAGCCAAATAATTGTATAAAGTACAAACTTTGTTGTGAGCTCTTCAGGTCACATATCACTATGTAGATCACAGATGCATGTTGTATTCAGTGACCAGTGACATCACTTTTAAAGTCTGTGACTGGTCACTGCATATCTGTTATTCGATTCATGCACATACAGCAAAGTAGACAGTTGTAAAGGTTGGATATCTCTTATAAGAAATGCTTGGGACCAGAAGTATTGCAGATTTTGAATTTTTTGGATTTTGGAATATTTACTTTTTAATTATTGGTTGAGCATGCCTAATCCGGAAATCTGAATTCCATAATACTTTAATGAGCATTTCCTTTGAGCATCATTGTGGTGCTCAAAAAGTTTCATATTTTGGAGCAGTTCAGATTTTGGATTTTTGGATTAGGAATATTCAACCTGTATTGCTTTTTTTTTCTCTCAGTAATTAACTCATATAACGTTTGACAAACACGGATAATCAAAAGAGGAAATTGGCTAATAAATATGAAAGTGTAGCAAAGAAGCAAAAAGCATTAACTCTGAAAATGACATTTGAACCAAATATAGATTGAAGAAATAGCTGACTATGAGAATGTTGACACTGCTGCCATTGAGAGGCTCTAGAGGAGCCAGTCAGAGGAACCTAGTGAAAGTGAACTTTTTGACATGAATGAGAAAAGTGATTGTGACAAAAGGCTGAAGATGTCCCAGAGCATATGATATTGGCAGAAATCTTCACATTAAAAGAACCCTCAGATATTTTATGACTGAAAGTGCAAAGGATAAGTTGTTGGTAACTGATCCAAAGTTAGAGGAGAGTATGACAGTTCACCAAGGCATAGAAAAAATGCTCACTTCGTGTTATAAGTTAATACAGTGAAAAGAAGAAGGCAAGAGCTGTTCAAACTACTTTTGGTAACGGTTTTACAAAGAAGTAAAACACTTTAATTCCAGTGTTTCTAATGTTTTCAGTTACAGTGTGCTTTAGAACTATTCATTTTACTGCTTTACAAAATATTTCCCTATGCACTATAACCAGCAGAGTTTTAATGTTTTGACAATAATTTTAAAGGTTACAGTACAATAACAATTTTCACCATGGATTAGTACGATTGCATTGCGTGGTTTCAGCTTCCATGGCTATTTCTGTGATCTTACACTATGGGGCAAAGTGAGGACTGCCTGTATTTGTGTCTTAGCAGAAATGCTAGTTGCAATCTCTCAACAGTTTTGCTTTTGGCAATTTAAGATGTTGAAGAGTTTTTAAATAGTGAAGTTTCATTATAAAGTTTAGAATTTGTATCTAGTATGATAAGAAATTTTCTTTCTCCTTCCTCCAACTAAAAAAAGTAAATCCTAATAATGTATTCCTTTGTAGGCCAACTGAAGAAGAAGCTGAACAATTATTGCAGTTGATGACAAGCCGTCCTCCTGCTACCCCAGCTGGGGTTCGCTTTGTTTCACTCTCCTTTTGTATGCTACTGGCATTTTCCACACTCGTCAGGTACCTAATTATATAACTTGCTCAGCATTCTCAAGGTCTGATTTTATTTACTCATTAAAACGCATGTATAGAGGGGGGCATACCTCATCAACAAGGGTACCTGCATAATGAACATTTGTATACCTAACCCTGAATTGTATCCCACATCTTTAAAATAAAAACATTTATTTAAAAAAGTCCATGTTTAAGGCCAAGTGCAATGGCTCACGCCTGTAATCCCAGCACTTTGGGAGGTGGAGTCCAGGGGTTTGAGACCTGCCTGGGTAATTTGGTGACACCTCATCTCTATAATAAATCAAAAAATTAGCTGGGCGTGGTGATGCATGCCTGTAGTTCCAGGCATTTGGAAGGCTGAAGCAGAAGGATCAGAGGGCCAAGGTTACGGTGGCTATGAGTATGCCACTACACTCCAGCCTGGGTGACAGAGCGAGACTTCTATGCAGAAAAAAAAATATATATGTATAGCATTAGATTAAGAGCTTACTACAAAATTTGGCCTAGGTATGGATGGTTGTAAAATTTAAAAAATATTGTTTAAAGGAGTCAAAATAGTTCTTCCAGATTTGTTAAGGATAATAGCAGTCTTTACTTCCCTCCTTCCTATTTCCCATTTCCTAGAGGCTGCGTCTTTCAGTTCTTTTAGATAATTCATTTGGGTTTTACTACTATATCTTTAATAGTACATTTGTGTTTGCTATGTCTTGATTTTTGTTTTTAGGCACTATTTATTGAGTTTCCACTATGAAAGATGAGAAATTAGTTCTCCTTTTCTTCTTTGTTCTAAACATATTTACATAATCTTATCTTTCCATTTTCCTAGTACAGTTATAATAATTTTGATTAGATTAATAAATAGTTGTTTATATTGTTATGATTATGTAGACACTGCTGGAAACTCAACCATGTGGTAGACAATTACTTTTTTCCTTGTCCATTTTTTTTTTTTTTGCATTAGTAATTTTGTTCTTGTTTTTTGGTTTTAATTTTCTTGGTATTCTGTATGCCATTAGTGCAACTTCAAACTCCCTGCCAGTCTAACTCTTCTCTCAAGATGTTCTGACTCATTAGACAGTCTGTCACTTTTATCTTGAGGAAATTTCTCCTGCAGCCTTTTGGTCTGGAGTGGTTACTGGCTATACCTGGTGGTGCACAGCTCTCTTCCTGGGATTGTTCTTCACTATCATTTTGGGGATTTGCTTTACTTCTCCTTTGTTGGAACTCCTGTTTCCTGTGTCTCATGTCATCTTTTTTCATTGGCTCCCTCATTTTGCTTCTTTAGAACAGGTGTGCATGAGGTACGTTTTTTTCTGAGACTGGTTATTCCTGAAAATATCTGACATTTGATTGATGGGATGTAGCATTCTAAGTTGGAAATAATTTCCTTTGAGAATTTTGAAGGCGTTTCTCCATTGTTTTCTAATTTCTAGTGTTATTGTTGAGAAGTCTAACGTTCTGATTCCTGGTCCTTTGTGTGGCCCATTCTTTTTTATTGTGGAAATATGTAGGATTAGCTTTTTGTCTCTAGGTTTTGAAATTTCTGGATGATATGCTTTAGTCTGTGTCTGTTTTTGTCTGTTGTTCTAGGTATTTAACCTGGAAACTCATGTCCTTCAGTTCTGGGACATTTTCCTGAATTAATTTGGTGGTTATGTCTTCCCTTTGGGTATTCTCTACAACTGCCTTTTACTTGGAATTGGACTTTTTGAAATTATCATTTCATAGTTCTTACCCTTTCCTCTTTTCCTTGCCTTTGGTCTTGTTCTACATTTTAAAAAAAATAGCATTATTGAGATAGAATTTACATATTGTAATATTGACCCATTTAAAATGTACAAGTCAGTGGCTTTTGAGTATACATACAGAGTTATACAACCATCACCACAATGTCATTTTGGAACATTTTCATCATTCCAGAAATAAACTATGCATTCTACCCTATAGGATTTCTCCTTGACTTTATCTTTGAATCCTACTTAGTGTTTAATTTCTTTTTTTTTTTGAGTTGGAGTCTCACTCCATTGCCTAGGCTGGAGGGCAGTGACATGCTCACAGCCACTGCATCCTCGACCTGCTGGGCTCAGGCGATCCTTCTGCCTTAGCCTTCCAAGTAGCTGGAACTACAGGCATGCACCACCACATTCAGCTAATTTTTTGATTTATTGTAGAGATGAGGTCTCACCAAGTTGCCCAGGCTGGTCTCGAACCCATGAGCTGAGGCAGTCCTCTCACTTCAGCCTCCCAAAATGCTGGGATTATAGGCGTGATCCACTGTGCCTGGCCTAGTGTTTAATTACTAAGAGCTCTTTTTTGTTCTCTGAGTTTCTGCTTCATGACATCTGTTGCTTCATAGTAGTATACTTTCTTTGATAATCATAATGCAGACTGAGCATGGTGACTCACACCTACAATCCCAGCACTTTGGGAGGCCAAGATGGGAGGACTGGTTGAGGCCAGGAATATGACACAACATAGGACAACATAGTGAGACCCATCTCTACAAAAAATTTTTAAAAACTGAGTGTATTGTCACATGCCTGTAGTCCCAGCTACTTGGGAGACGGAGATGAGAACATCACTTGAGCCCAGGAGTTCTATGAACATCACTTGAGCCCAGGAGTGAGTTATGATCATGCCACTGCACTCCAGCCTGCTTGACAGAGTGATACCATGTCTCTAAAAAAAAAATTATAATGTTATAATGATTTTGAAGGAATTTTATTTGTATCACTTCTTTTTTCTATGTTGCTTTTTTTAGTCTCTGTTTTTTAAATTAGAATCTTTTCTCAGGTGTTTAATATTTTTTGATTGTCTGTTCATATTTAAGAGTAGGAAGCTGAAAGGCATATTTGAACCTCTCAATGTATAGATGGGTCTTTGGGAAACTGTTGTTGGCCTGATCAGAGTTCTAAAGAATATTATCTGATCTGGAGAGTAAAGACTTGTCTCAAAACCCATGAACAACATTAAAACGTGAGGGTTAAGCTTTGGCAGAGGTCATTCTGCATTATAATCATAATCATCCACTTAATTCTCCTACTTTCAGACTGGTGTTCCAGGTATACCTGGTTGTCCCTTAATTCAGGAACACTGTTTTACCATCTCCAGAGAAAAAGTCTCTATTCATCTTCTCTCAGGGGTATTCGTACAGTTGTATAGAATGGAGGAGGTGATTTGGAGGTCTACTACTTATAAAACTGTCAGCCTTTTAATTTTAGTCTCTGTCTTCACTCTTATACTCAGAACTGCCTGAAGCTATTAGTTCCTGAGCCCTTTGAGAATTCTGTGGTATAAATGGGTTGGTTTTTCCTTCTGCTAATTTAGTGTCCTGCTTCCTCAGATCTGCTAAGTCAGTTACCACTTGTCTATATGTTCTCTAGCTTTTAGTATTTTGCTTTTATGCCTTTTTTTTTTTTTTTTGAGTTGGAGTCTCACTCTGTCGCTCAGACTGGAGTGCAGTGGCCGCTCCCGGCCACCGCAGCCTCGACCTGCTGGGCTCTGGCGATCCTTCCGCCTCAGCCTTCCGAGTAGCTGTAACTACAGGCGCGCGGTACCACGCCCGGCTAATTTTTTGATTTATTGTAGAGATGAGGTCTCGCCAAGTTGCCCAGGCGGGTCTCAAACCCGCGGGCTCAGTCAATCCGCTCACCTCGGCCTCCCAAAACGCTGGGATTACAGGCTGAACCACCGAGCCCGGCCTCTTTTAGGCCTTTTTAAGAAAATCCCTTTAATGTACTTTTAGTGGGGTTTCAGGAAATTGTGAAATCAGTATATGAGATGAAGTTACTTTCTTTTCTTTTCTCTTTACCTGAAGTACTTTTTTTTTGAATCGGAGTCTCACTCTGTCGCCCAGACTGGAGTGCAGTGGCATATTCATGGCTACCCCAGTGTCGACCTGCTGGGCTCAGGCGATCCTTCTGCCTCAGCCTTCCAAGTATCCGGAACTATAGGTGCGCTACCATGCCCGGCTAATTTTTTGATTTCTCTGTAGTTTTGAATTCTACTCAAAAGGTTTACATAAATTCAATTTTATTTTTCAGTTAAAAGATGGACTAACTTGTTACTTTATTTTTTTTCCTTAGTTGGGGTCTCACTCTATTGCCCAGGCTTGAGTACAGTGGCATGGCCTCAGCTCACTGCAACCTCAAACTCCTGGGCTCAGGCGATCCTCCCACCTTAGCCTTTCGAATAGTTGGGACTACAGGTGTGCGCCACCACTCCCAGCTAATATTTTGATTTCTTGTAGCAATGATGTCTTCCTAAGTTATGTAGGCTGGTCTTGAACCCCTGGACTCAAACAGTTTTTCTGCCTTGGCCTCCCAGAGTGTTGAGATTACAGGTGTGAGCCACTGTGACTGGCCACTTGTTTTCTAGTACTAAGTTTGTGAGTTTTTGATATTGATGTTTTAGCACTAGAGTTTTGTCTATATGAAATATGAAATAAATATCAGCTGTTGTATAGTTCTTTTAACATTATTTTATTTTATTTTTTGAGTTGGAGTCTCACTCTGTCACCCAGACTGGAGTGCAGTGGCTGCTCCTGGCCACCACAGCCTCGGCCTGCTGGGCTCTGGCGATCCTTCCGCCTCAGCCTTCCAAGTAGCCGGAATTACAGGCATGTGCTACCACGCCCGGCTGATTTTTTTTTTTTTAATTTATTGTAGAGATGAGGTCTCGCTGCCCAGGTGGATCTTGAACCCTCAGGCTCAGGCAATCCATTCACCTCAGCCTCCCAAAGGCGCGGGATTACAGGCTGAGCCACCGAGACTGGCTTATTTTATTTTTTATTTGAAAGATGTGGGGTACAATTCAGGGTTAGGTATACAAATGTTCATTATGCAGGTAACCTTGTTGATGAGATGTGCCCTCCCTCCCTCACAGTTTCCCACTACTGCCAATCCTGCCCCTGCCCTCGCCTGGCAGTTTCCTACTACTTTCTTATAGTATTATGATTTGTTCAACATCTATTTATGATTGAGAACATATGGTACTCTATTCTTTGTTTCTGTGATAGATCACTGAGTATGATCTCTTTTTTTTTTGAGTTGGAGTCTTACTCTGTCAACCCATGCATGCTCATGGCCCTCCACAGCCTTGACCTGCTGGGCTCAGGCGATCCTTCCTCCTCAGCCTTCCAAGTAGCTGGAACCACAGGTGCGTGCCGCCATACCCAACTAATTTTTGATTTATTGTAGAGACAAGGTCTCACCAAGTTGCCCAGGCTGGTCTCAAACCCCTGGACGCAGGCATCCTCTTGCCTCTGCCTCCCAAAGTGCTAGGATTATAGGCATTGAGCCACCGCATCCAGCTCTTTTAATATTCTAATGCTAAAAGAGCCTTGCTTTTCTGAGGAATGTGAGAAAGTTTACTCTCTCCAACCTGTAGGTGCAGTAACTAAGACTTGGGTTTGATTGTTCAGGTTTATGAAGAAAATTATAAAGGTCCTCCTCATTCTTTTTTTTTTTTTTATTATAAAGATGTGGGGTTCAATTCAGGGTTAGGTATACACACGTTGATTATGCAGGTACCCTTGTTAATGAGGTATGCCCTTCCCTCCCCTAGCAGTTTCCCTCAACTGCCAATTCTACCCTCCTTCCCCTGACAGTTTCCCACTACTGCCAATCCCTTTCTTATAGTATTATAAGTGTTTAAGGTCTGCTTAGGGGTGAGAACACATGGTACTCTGTTCTTGGTTTCTGTGATAGATGACTGAGTATGATCAACTTTAAATCCATCCAAGTTGCTGCGAAGTCCATATGTTTGTCCTTCTTTATGGCTGCATAATATTCCATTGTGTATATGTACCAAATTTTTTTTATCCAGTTCAGCTTCGATGGGCAATATGGTTGGTTCCATGTTTTTTGCTATTGTGAATAGAGCTGCAACAAACGTGTGTGTAGGTATCTTTTTTGTAGAATGATTTGAGTTCCTCCAGGTATATTCCCAATAGGGGAATTGCTAGGTCATATGGAAGGTCAATTTCGAGTTCTTTCAGAAATCGCCACACTGTCTTTCAAAGAGGTTGTACTAGTTTGCATTCCCACCAGCAGTATAGAAGCGTTTCTTTTTCTCCACAACCTCGCCAGCATCTGTTGTTGTTTGTTTTATTAATGATGGCCATTGTTACTGGGGTTAGGTGGTATCTCAATGTGGTTTTGATTTGGATTTCTCTGATGATGAGCGAGGCTGAGCAGTTTTTCATGTGTCTTTTGGCTGCCTGTATATCTTCTTTTGAAAAGTGTTTATTCATGTCTTTTGCTCTGAGCTCTGTAATTACTCCATATCTCAATGGCAGTTAATGGCCCAGTTCAGCAAGCCAGACATTTGATTTGCTATTTCAAAATAAGGAAGGAAAAATAATTTCTTTTTTTTTTTTTTTTTGAGTTGGAGTCTCACTCTGTCGCCCAGACTGGAGTGCAATGGCCCCTTCCAGCCACCGCAGCCTCGACCTGCTGGGCTCCGGTGATCCTTCTGCCTCAGCCTTCCAAGTAGCTGGAATTACAGGCATGCGCTACCACGCCCGGCTGATTTTTTGATTTATTGTAGAGATGAGGTCTCGCTGCCCAGGCGGGTCTTGAACCCATGGGCTTAGGCAGTCCACTCACCTCAGCCTCCCAAAGGCGCGGGATTACAGGCTGAGCCACTGAGCCCGGCCTGGAAAAATAATTTCTACCAAAAATAATTTCTCGTTCATATGCTGGTGTTTACACTTTAAACCGTGACTTTCTGGTATGTTTTTTATAGTACACCTGAACAGGAGCAGCTAATGGTGGTGTGGCTGAGTTGGATGATAAAAGAAGAAGCCTATTTTGAGAGGTAAAATGGCTTAATTTGTTTTAGTTAGTTGAGAAAGCTTCTCTTATTCTCTCTTTGGAAATTCATGTATACACATTTTTTGTTTCAACAGTACTTCAGGTGTCTCTGCTTCTTTTGGGGAGATGTTATTATTGGTGGCTATGTATTTTCACAGCAATCAGCTTAGTGCTATCATTGACTTGGTCTGTTCCACTTTGGGGATGAAGGTAATTTTAACTTCTTTCTAAAAGAAGGTATTTCTAAGCTGGATATATTGTTATAGTGTAAAGTAAATAGATTTTTTTCATTTCAGTAATTTTAGTTGTGTCATAGTTTTCAGTTTTATCAGGAGTGCTTAGAAAATATGCATTTTTTTAGCCGGGCGTGGTAGCGCGCGCCTGTAGTTCCAGCTACTTGGAAGGCTGAGGCAGAAGGATTGCCGGAGCCCAGCAGGTCGAGGCTGTGGTGGCCGGGAGCAGCCACTGCACTCCAGTCTGGGTGACAGAGCGAGACTGCAGCTCAAAAAAAAAAAGAAAATATGCTTTGAAGACATTCATTTACAAGAATAATAGATATTCAATGCAGAAAACTTGGAAAGCTCAGAAAGGGAAAATTATCTTATATTCCACCATTCAGAGACATCTACTATATTACTGTTAACATTCTGGTATCTGTTCTTTCTTGAAAGTGGCATAGCTGGGCTCGGTGGCTCAGCCTGTAGTCCCACACTTTGGGAGGCTGAGGTGAGTGAATTGCCTGAGCCCATGGGTTTGAGACCTACCTGGGCAACTTGGTGAGACCTCATCTCTACAATAAATCAAAAAATTAGCCGGGCGTGGTAGCTCATGCCTGTAATTCCGGCT